CTTACCTTTTATATGTTGTTTCATATCATGACGCCTATAGTATGGTATCATGGCCTCATCCACGCTGGATTCGGTTTCCCATACAGCGTATTCAGTAAATGATTTGCGGAGACATTCAAGGTACGGAGAAATTTTGTATGTTTTGTCTGAACGATCTATGTTTAGGTTATTGTTAAAATGGACAAATCTTATAATGATTTTAAATCAGTTACGATGCATTTTACTTGAAATAAGTATATATAAAACGTCATAAGATTTTGTCCATGTACATGCGTCTTCTTGGATTCGTGCTGTGCCCACTAACTAGTAAAGTTCTAAAGTAGTACCTTTTTGAAGAGCATAATGAACTGTCTCCTTTAGAATATTTGATAAAAGCTCCTCATTAAAAAAAAAAAACAAAGATCTGTAAAGGAGTTAGTGGTCGTGAATAAAATGAAGGAGTTTATGTGTTCTGTTGAGTTTTGTTAAATTCAATATCCAAATAGAGGGAATTTTCATCTGGTAAATCTCCCTGAAGTCATTTCCGTGGTAAAAGAGTTACACTTTTTGAGCGAATCTCAGTAGATGGCAATTAACACTTAACACACGCCAAAAATAAAGTATTGAAATGTTATAAATAACTTACAAGGGGATTTATTGTCTTAATCTACAGTGATTTTTTCGTAGGTAGAGACACTTTCGCGTATTATGAACGTGGACATCAGACTACTTCATTACATGGGAAAATCCTAATAGCTTTCTTTTGCATTCTAAAAATTTGAAGTGCATTTGTTGGATTACCCCATATGATAACACCATAGTTTAGGTGAGAGTGGAATAAAGAAAAATATATCACTTGGTGGAAATTTATTTTATATAACAATAAAACACTGCAAACTTTGTTTTCAACACTTCCACAAAATTTATTATAATATCTTATCACTACAGCTGTTTCGGCAGAGTGTCTTTCTCACTTGAGGTTTAAACTCTGGACCATGGTGTAAATTACTTGTAGATATAACCAAATTTTGCATTTTATCAGTTTTAGTTTGTTTGCAGCAAACCATGAGCTAGATTTAGTACAAACTTCCTCATAAGACATTTTTAAATCATCACTATTTTTTCCTGATAGGTGTTCCTAATAGCGAGTTGTATTGATTTGTACGGAGATATGAATTTAGACAAGGACATCATGTTTTACGGATAGAAAATCAGAGAGATGAGCTTTAGGTACTAATGCCTGGTGTCTGTTACAGAAATTATAAGTTTAAGAGGGATACCTCTGATTCCATAATAATTGAATTTGTAAAGCACAATGTCGTGTGAAATGCAATCAAAAGCCTTCGACAAGTCGCAAAGAGAAATTGCTATGTGATTACCGCGTTCTAGCCCCTCAATCACCTCGCTCACAACATTAAATGCCACGTTCGTAATAGAACGAGCACTTCTAAATCTATATTGTGAGTTGCTAAAGGAATTATTTGACACAAAATAGGACTACAACTAATGTTTGATAACCTTTTCAATCACTTTCCCAAAAGTAGAAACAATGCTTATGGGTCTGGAATTGTCAGTTTTTGAGGAATCACTTTTTTTGTAGATAGATTGGTAATACTTTTGAGTATCTTAGTACTTCCGGAAATACTCCAGTTGATAGAATTAAATTAATAAGATGAGTGAAAGGTGTTAAACTATTTGGTAAGTTTCTTTTGAAATCTTACTTATTAATTTCGTGAACGTCCCTACAATTTTAGAATCACTAAGAGACTTTATTATTTGAGAGACCTTTTCTTCCACAACGGGACAAAAAAAGACTTGCTCGGAGAAGGATAATTTATATAATTGAAGAGGACATCAACATTAATAAGTGGGAAGAAATGTAATTATATTTTCTGCAATTGTAGTAAGAAAATGATTTATTCGTCTGGATGTAGATCAGGTTTTACCGAACTGGAACTTGTATTGTTTCTTTCAATATTTACCATTTTCCAGCAGTCTCTAGGTTTATTATTGGAATTATCAATAAAATTACAGTAAGCTAACTTCTTAGCAATTTGTAGTTGCCGATTATATTCAAATTTTTTATATTTATATACTTTGAACAAATCGGGATCCTTAGTGGCATCTGGAATGTGTTTAATAAGAAAAAGTTTGGATCTATAAAACCTTAATTCATTATTAAACCATTGGATGGGTATTTTTTCAGCAGTTTGTCGTACTTTTTTTTCAGTAGAGAATGCTTTAATATTAATATTTAAGCTTCTGTAAACCAGAAGAAGTAATAAACCGTTGAAATGTTTGATTAGTGTCAACAACTTTATGCTCAGAGTCAATAATTAAAACTTGACCTCGATGGTCAGAAAAGCAAGGTTCAAATACGCCACTCTTTAGATATTCTCGAAGAATTGTCATAATGTTATCGATTATTTGAAGATGAGAGATTTATTTGAAGAATAAATGAATTATTTGAAGATAAGAGAGTAGAACACTATACACCGATTGCTATATCAGGTCCATCTATAACAGAAAGTGGGGTTACACGTTCAATACAAACGGCAAAAAATGGAGAAGCACTTGGCCCTGATGAAGTACGTGCTGAAATACTAAAGTTTTTGGGAGAAAATGGAATTAAAGCTCTGTGTAATCTCTTTAACAGAATTTATGACACTGGGATATTACCAACTGATTGGTTAAAGTCGACATTTGTCACAATACCTAAGAAACATCGTCCAAAGACATGCGGTGATTATCGCACAATAAGTCTGATGAGTCACGTTTTGAAGATCTTCCTGCGAGTAATACACAGCAAAATGTACACGCTGTTAGAGGACAGAATTAGCAATACTCAATTTGGGTTTAGGAGTGGCTTGGGTACAAGAGAAGCCTTGTTTAGTATGCATATGCTAGTACAGAGATGCAGAGATATAAATCAAAATGTGTACGTTTGTGCAATCGATTTTGAAAAGGCTTTTGACAAAGTCCGACATAACAAAATGCTAGAAATATTGGAAACAGCTGGATTGGACGATAAAGGTCTACGAATAATTACAAATCTATACTGGCATCAACTGACAAGAATAAAGGTTAAACAAGAACTGTCGGATGAAATAAATATAAAAAGAGGAGTGAGACAAGGCTGTCCATTGTCGTCTTTACCTTTTAACTTATATTCGGAGGAAATATTTAAGGAAGCCTTAATGGAGACAACCGAAGGTATTATTGTGAATGGAGTAACCGTCAACAATATTAAATATGCCGACGATACCGTAGTGCTTACTAATTGCGGAGGAGACCTTCAAAATCTAATGAACAAAATAAAACAGACTTATGATCAGTATGGATTAAAACTCAACGTTAAGAAAACTAAATATACGATAGTTAGCAAACAAAATTATATACAGGATGACGGTATAAAAGTCAGAGATGACACACTGGATAGAGTAGAGAAACTCGTGTATCTCGGCATCAATATCAATGAGAGCTGGGATCCAACCGCAGAAATTAAAAGTCGATTAGAACAAGCTCGAGCTACCTTTGTAAAAATGAGAAACGTACTGTGCAGTCACGATCTTAGCATTGACCTTAGAGTTCGAATGACATCTTGCTACATCTTTCCTGTCCTGCTGTATGGAGTGGAAGCGTGGACTCTAACTGAGGCTATCCTTAAACGCTTGACAGCCTTTAAGATGTGGGTATAAAGACGACGAATGAAAATAAGCTGGGTCGACAGACTTAGAAATGAGGAGGTCCTTAGACGGCTGAACCAAACAACACAACTGGACAATATAATAAAGAAATGCAAGCTGGAATACTTCGGTCACATTATGAGACACCCTGAAAAATATGATCTTTTAGATCTGATTATTCAGGGAAAGATCCAATGTAATCGTGGTCCTGGTAGAAGAAGAACCTCATGGCTGAAAAATCTAAGGCAATGGTATATAAAATCAACTACATCGATATTTAGAGCTGCTGTCAATAAAGTCACGATAGCAAATATGGTAGCCAACATGATATCCAACGATCGATAACGGTCATGGAACTAGAAGAAGAAGAATGTTATCGATGTAACTGTTGGACTGGGATGTGATTCTAGTATATACGTTTGTGGTTACTTTTATTACCCATTTACAGAAGTAAATGCATAAACATTATTATGAGTATTATATCGTTTAAATAAAAAACGGGCGAGAACACGTAATTTAAAAATATAAAATATTTCAATTACTTAAATAATTTATTTTAATAAATAAATTTAAAGAAGATAAAAGGATTAGCTATTCAATGAGATCATAATACAATATTGCTCTAAGAAACCTCTGTGAATCACCTAGAGTAGACAAATAAATCATATAAATTTATTGAATAGCTTCTCATTGTCCATTGTATGTATGATCAACAGATATTTTGATAATATTTAAGAATATGTTTCAGTTTAAAACATTTTTAAAATCAGGAAAGCTTTCCATGTTATTAGGTGGAGCTCTCTTTTGTGCTACAGGTGTTACTGTAATTATGTTTATAGTACTAGAACCTCGTCTACCGAAAATCGGATAATAGAACCAGAATCTAAAACTTCTGTAACTACAGAAGCACCAGGTAAAGATTTTATTCACTAGACACATTTAGTGCAATATGGAGCTCCTTCTTTTGTTCTTTTGTTCGTAGCTTTTATCTTTTTAATATTAACACAGTTGACAGAAAATACGACAAATTAACCGGAGGTACCTACTACTTCTATTAGTTCAGAAGAGTCAGGTAATGATTTAATTCTTTATTATACAAGTTTTATACAATGTACCTTTTATTAACTAGCAGCTACAGCGCCTCTGTGTTATTTTACTTCCGTTTGCAGAATTTTCAACACATTTCAACACAAAACTTCTGTAACTACAGCACCAGGTAATGAATTTATTGTTTAAAAAAGGTAAAGTACAATATATATTTTTTATATTATCAGCTGGGGCTCCATTTTTGTGATTTTCTTAATTGTTAATATATTTTCAGTATCTACAACAGAGATGGTAGAAAATACGACAAATGAACCAGAATTTAAAACTTCTATAACTACAGAAACATCAGGTAACGATGTTATTGTTTGATCAAGTATATTACAATATTAATTTTTTATAATAACAGCTGGAGTTCCTTTTTATTTGCAATTTTTTTAATTGTTAATATCTTTTCAGTATCTACGACAGAGATGGAAGAAAATCCGACAAATGAACCAGAATTTAAAACTTCTGTAACTACAAAACCCCAGGTAACCGTTTGAGTACTGGTAACCGTTTAGTAGTAAAGCTCATTTTTTTGTAATTTTATTGATAAATAATATCTTTTCAGTATCTACAACGCAGTTCACCGAAAATCCGATAACTGAACCGGAACTTAAAACTTCTATTACTACAGACACGTCAGGTAGCGATTTTATTGTTTATTCAAGTATAATACAACTTATATTTTTATAATAGCAGCTGGAGCTCCTTTATTTGGTATTTTCTTAATTGTTAATATCTTTTTAGTGTCTACAATACAGTCTACCGAAAATCCTATAATTGAACCAGAATATAAAACTTCTATAAGTACAGATGCGTCAGGTAACGATGTTATTGTTTAATTAAGTATAGTACAATATATTTTTAATACTAGCAGCTGGAGCTCCTTTTTTTGTCTTTTTCTTAATTTTTATTATATTTTCAGTATTTACAACACAGATAGAAGATGATTCGACAATTAAACCAGAATTTAAAACCTCTACAACTACAAAAGCACCAGGTAACGAATTTATTGTTTAATCAAGTATAATTTAGTCTATATTTTATATACTAGTAGCTGCAGCTCTTTTTTTATTTTTTTTGTGATTGCTTGTATCTTTTCAGTTTTTACAACACAGATAGAAGAGAGTACTACAAATGATCCGGAATTTAAAACCTCTATAACTACAGAAGCATCAGGTAAATTTTATTGTTGAAATGTTTTATTTTAACACGTTAAGTGCCATGGGGGACAAAAGTCGTCTCACATTTGCATATATTGTTTTCCATCCATGTGGTCGTCGGGGACACATGCTGTCCGACAGGTCAGTTCACACTTCTAGCCACGTCTTACTGCGTTTGTTAGACAGATCCGTTTAATAGCGGCTTCCCACGGTCGGCGATATTGCAGACGTAAGCGGACCAGCACGCACCACGCACCGTGGGAAGGGTTTCGTCCGTGGTAGCGCAGGCACGTCTGTGCTGGTCCGTCCTATCCATCTAGAGTCGGTAGCATCAAAGGTGCGGTACATGCTCGTGCGACGCGATCCTAGCGCGTCTGTGTTTTAACAGACGACAAGTGCAAGTCAGAAGTTTTTCATTCGCTGACACGAGTAGTTGTCTGTAGTGTTGTGAAAGTTGTTTTGCAGTTTTTTGCTAAAAAATGGAATGGACAAAGGAAGTTATTTTTGATTTTTTAAATTTGTATCAAAATAAAACAAATTTATGGAATTCTACGGCACCAGAGCATAAGAAACGGAACCGATATATACGATGTATGGAACCGAATAAAAAATCAATTGAAGAATAGTACTATTTCGATTAAAGAATTAAAAAAAAAGACAAATAATTTAATGCCGAATTTAATGTCTATAAGCCTGAGTGGCCTTTTTATGATATAATCAAACAATACTGTCACGGACCTACACAGACTGTCACGGACCGTAGGAAGAGCTCTGCCTGCGGTGCGTTCTCGTCCGTGCTGATCGGCTGTCCGCGATGATCTGTAGAATCGCCGATCGTGGGAAGCCACTATAAGATATATGTAAGCGGTGAGAGCCTGTATTGGACAATATGGACCACTAATTGGTCTGGGTGTTTTACGATAGGTTTGAAGAAGGATTTTCTACAATTAAAAAAATTAAATATTTTAACATTTAAAAAATCTTTATTTTGAGGTAGATACATGTTTTTTAAAATAACGATTTTTAAGGTAAAATATTCGAAGATAAGTGTTCGAAGATTTCGAACACTTATTGCAATATAGTTTTATGTTCGAGGTTTTGTTTTCGGCAATGTTCTTCCCGATTTATTGAGAGTTATGCGTAGCACACGGAACAGGATCGCCTTTTTTCGGTTTCTATAGGCTTGTGTTAATCTGTTTGGCTCGAATCGTCGACAGTCGGACAGGTATCAGGCTTTGTAAGTCCTTAAACGTACATATTTACTTATAATAATATCATTTTTTTTAAATACACATTTTACCCTTTATGACTTCCTCACGAAATTCTGTGATGGTCATTTTGTTATTGGTTACTTTTTGATGTAATAAATAGGAATTCACAATAGCAGCGCCAATAACAAGCTCGATTATTAACTTCCTATACTATTTAACTCCTCTACGTAGAGATGAATTATATGATTTCATCTGATCTAAAAACAATTTTACAGTAACAAAAAAAAATGTTTTTAAATAATAAAGTTACCTGATAAATCAATATAGGCCTTATGTTTGTTGTATTCCAGCACACTTTTGAGCTTCAATAATTCACCTGAACGTCTGTTGACCACCACCATTTCCGGTAAAAATTTTGTGTTTAGCATAAGGACATCCCTCTTGTCCTTCCATTTTTCTACAAAAATGCCAGTATTGCTTTCTTCTGCAATAACTTCTCCACGTTTTAATTTGGCTTACAAAACAGTTTTTGGGTTTAATTTTCTGTTGCTATGAAGAGTTCCAATTATATGGGTATTATTCTCTAGCAATTTATGTGCCAATTCTACTGATGTGTAATAATTGTCCACTACAATGGTTCTGCCGCTGTTTAGCAAGTCTCTGGTTAAGTTCAGAGCAACCTGAGATGGAACAGATTGCTCTTCTGAAACCTCTTTTTCTCTTCCACAGTACACCTTTAGGTCATATAAATAACCCCCTCCAAACACAGTTTAAAAAGTTTAATTCCAAATTTAAATCGTTTATTCGGGATATATTAAACTTTAGCTTTCCTTTGAAAGGAACAAATGTCTCATCTATAACAATATTTTCACCAGGTACTATGGAAGCTTGAAAAGTTTCCTGTAACTTTGATAGTAAGGGACCGATTTTATGTAGCCTGTCGTCCATATTAGCTTGTTCGTTGTTCGTAAAATGCCACGAAAGCGGTTTCTAAACAAAACATGTTTTAGTGAATTTTGATACAAACTTTTTTTTGACCAGTAGGTAGAAAGGGAAGGAAGCTGAACTAATCTTATCCACATAAGGATTTCTAGAAATGCTTCCATTTTCATTCTCCGTGGTGTCTTTCCAAGTTTGAACTCGGGAGTGCTTAGTGGTATTTTTAGCTTTTTGTTGATGTGCATAGATATTGGTTTCCCGAACAAACAATTAAATAATTTCATCTGTTATGTTCACGTTCGTATTCACGCATAATTCACAAACTACGCGTAATTCACAAACGCGCGTGCTTCATGTGTCAGACACGCATGTCCCGACGGCCGTTATAAAAAAAACCTGTGTTATCGTCATGGGGGATAAATGCTGTCAGATAAAAAAACTATTTTTTTGTTTAAAAAATATTAGTTTATAACTAAAATAAGTTATTCACATGTTTAAAATAATAAAAAAGTTTCAAATAAATTAAAAAACATATCAGACCAATATGAACAGTTTAATACGATATCCATTGCGGCACTTTACGTGGTAATTAGGTTCATCTTTCTCTCATTAGTTCACTTAAATATAGTTTCATCAGTCGCCTAGTTTCATATTTTTCATCCTACAAATAAATTATTCCTTCTTATTATTATTTTTTGAAATTTCATCCTATATTCCAAATTATTTATAGTTTTATTTGTTTCATAAAGTTCCTGTTTCATGTTGTTATTTTCCTTCTTCAGTCCTCTCATTTTTTCCACGAATTCCTTTTCTCTTAGCTATTTTGCACACGCTGGCAACACCGCGCTGTATTCTGACAACGTAGCAGTTCGTTCTTTATCAGCTTCTGCGAATATAATGTGAGTACATTAATTAGATTTTTGTTGATATCTAAACCGTCTTTATTTTCTACTTATTCCATCTTAAATTATAAAATATTTGTAATTTTGCGTTGATATAATGCTATTACTAATTACGGATTTCGAAATTGGCATTTAATTTTTACTCCACATGCGTTCATTTTACGGGAAAGATGCAGATGAATTTTAATTATTTGTTTACGATTTAACCCACAAATCAATGGTCTGTGATTTAATTCCACGATCTTAAAATCTCATTTTATTTTTAAAATCTAAATTCATACCTATTTATTTTTATTTTTAGGATTCTGTGAAATTAACCAAATACAATACAGTAATACAGCACCCCTTCTCTTATCTCCGAATACACAAAATATTATTTATCCACAAGGAAAAGCAACTACGATCTTTGCCACCAACGAAGAAGTAGAATTTTCATGTCCTCAATCACAAGTACGAGCAAATGGAGTTAACTTAGATTCCACTATTATTGTTGTTTGTAAGTCAAAGGAGACGTTTACATATAATGGAATAAATATAGAGTGGAAAAACGTTTTATGTTCAAAGTCCTTGGTACCAACCATTAACGAGATATCAGTTAAAAATTTGAGTATAGACGATCCTAACAAACCTTGTGATATTGGCGACGATAGTACAATCTTCTTAAATTTGGGTTACACAGTTGACTCAAATCGTTTTATCAATATTGTAAATATTTGTTTTAATACAAAAAACAGAATGGCTCTTTATTCTCACTATATTTTGACTAAGTGTTATAAGTTTTGGATCCCGAAATGATACTCGTTCTAATATTCGACAATACGATCCGATTTATAAATTAGGCGAAGCTGTAAAACAAATTTATGAAGAAAGTAAAAAAACAATTAATAATTTATTAGGTTTACCAGATGATTCGGATAAATATATTAACAATAACGCATTTATTACCACACAACAACTTGCTAGCGAAAATGATTTTTATTCAGCATCTTTTCAGCTGGCTGTTAAGAATTACGCAAACATTGCACCGCAATGGAACTCGATTAACAATGGAAATTGGTTGCAAGAAAGCGAAATAAGAATGTATGCAAGTAACAAAAATGTTAACCTACAAATTTGGAGTGGAACATATGGCGTTACGAAATTAAACAATGAGACAACAGAGCTCATAGACCTATATCTCTTTGAAAGAGAAATCAGAAAACAGTTGGTGAAAGCCTTTCCAGTGCCTGAGTTGTATTGGAAAATTGTGTACAATCCTTTAAATACACAAGGAATAGTTCTTATAGGACATAATAATCCGTATGTGGGTAAAGTTTCTCCAGAAGAACAAATTTGTGATGATATATCCAGTAAACTCAATTGGATAAGTTGGGACAAAGAACTTTATGACAAAGGATACTTTTACGCCTGTGATTATAATGATGATAAATTCCAAAGCATTGTCCACTTTGCTCCAAAACTCAAAATAACTGGATATTTGTGAATGACAAATAGATATTGTTTATTTATTTTAATAAAGTTATTTATTGATTTTTAAAAATGTGGTATTTTTTAATCCAATAAAATAAGTTGTTTAAAATTTTGCTCATTCCAAGTTGCAGTATAATAAGCAGCACGGTTTTCGGATTGAAAGATTTCTGGTGAGTGGGAAGTGAGACTCAATATCGTAAGTCTAATTTTTTTTATTTCTTTTTTAAGATTTTATTTGGCCTAATGTAGAAAAAAAAACATCGAAGACAATCAATTTCGTTGGAAACGAAACTTGCGATTTTAGGTCGCTTAGGAAAAGAACAAGGATCTATGGCGATTGGAAAATATTTTAATTTCGCCGAATCAACTGTACGAGCCATTGATGAGTTTGCTGTAAGAAGGATGCAGCTTATATTTGGTAATTGTTGAGAATTTGAAAAGAACAGTTTTTTAATAAAAGTTTTTATTTTAACCCGAAAGACATACCTAATATCAATTGATGACAAACATATTGAGTCAATCCTTGAGACTGAGACTATTTTCAGTAGTAATATCCCTAGGACATTGATAACAGACGAGATAATTTCATGACAATCGAAAGCTCGTTCCTTGGTAACAGCACGAAGCCGAAGGCTGAGCAACGAGCAAGCAAACAACTTACCAAGCAACGAGCTTGAGAATTTGTCATGAAATTATGAGGCATTCATCAATGTCCGAGGGATATTCGGCGGATAATTTTTGGAAAAAAAAAATCATAACTCAACATAACGAAACATTTATTTATTAAAAGTACAGTTAGTAAAAGTACAATTATTAAAATTATTACATTCTCATTGCCGAAACGTGACATTTTGAAATTTATTTGGATGAAGTTATCAAACTCGATCGTGTTGTCATAGGGATTGAAAATTGCACTGAATGCAATTATCAGTCTAATGTTGACATGATTGGGTGAAATTTTTCCACATGACACAAAATGACGAAATTTGAATGGATGTTAGAACAGTCGAAAACTTATCAAGATAATTTTTGAAAAAATAAGAAAAAAAAAATTGAAAAAAAGTTGGACCTGCTTCTTTTTTGCACCAATCACGTGAAATAATGATTCTTTACCATTATTTTTAAGAAAAAAAAAACAAATTCTCAATAAAAACTCTTTTATTCGGTTACAACAATCAAACGACTATGTTTTGACTACTAAACAAATACGAAAAAATCTGGAAAAAGAAACAGGTTGGTATCAAAAAAATAACATTAAAAAAAAAAAAAAATAATAAAACATTAAACACACGGGCAAACATATCCTTCTTTCATTTACCTGGTCGTCATCATTCGTTCCAGATGATTCGGTTTTCTGCTTCCCTGCCATTGCTGCAATACTTGTAAGACGGGTGTAACAAGCCATTTGGTCCATATGAACAAATCGTGTTGCCAACTGCATTACATCTGCATAGTTGGCTTTTTTGACAAGTATACGATTGCAATAGACAGGATATATCAGAAGAAACTGAGAGGTCGCTGTCAAGGTTTCTCAAGATTTGGAATAAGTAAAAACTCTGAAGGCCAGTAGATATACTGACTTTAATACCATCTAAATGTTCATTGCTGTACTGGAAAATTCGGTATTTGGAAATCTGGAATCTTTGTTTTTCTACATCTGAGATAACTTTTTAAAAATGTCCTTCATAGTGACCACTAAAGTTCAGGATCATATTTTGTTTTACTAGAATGGAAATAAACTGTTTGCATGATTGTTTAACGAAAATCAGTATATTGGTTGGGGGCTAAAAATGTAGTCCTTCTTTCTTAAAAACTTCTCAATAACTCCAAATCAGTGATCACAGGGAAGAAAGTTATGACCTGGCTCAGGAAAGCGGTGCTCTATCTTGCCAATAGACCTAGTTCTCAGAAGTAAATACAGAAGCTGAATCATTATTGAGTTTTTTTGCGCAGTAGCTATATACGAGAAAAGGTATAAAACTTTAGTAGTTTTAGGGAGTCTATTTTTTTATAGTGGTACAAAAATGACACTACCCCGTTTGGTAACTTTCGAGCCGTAGTTTCATCATATATATAAAAATGTGCTTGATTTATCTTACCAGAATGGACGCAGAAGTTGTTTGTCCACAACTGACGTTTGTAAAAAGCTTCCCCAGAAGGAATTTTTGGAAGTAGAATTTTTTGTTGTAAGTCAAAGGTCAGAACTTTCACTTCGTTGCTATGCTTGCACAACGTGGATTCTTTTTCAGCTCCTTGAAAAACAAATCGACTTTAATTTAATGAAACTTTTTTTTCGCTGCTAAAACTTTTCGTTCATTTTCGTCGAGGGTCACATCTTTGAGTTTGTTATCTAAGACATCAAATTTTTTGCACGTATCTGATCAAGGTGAGCCAAACCTGTAATTGAAGATTTTCTAAAGTATCGATAGTGGAAGTCATAGGGAACTTTGGGTTTATATTTAGGATTGCTAACACTTTCTGGTTCGTAAAGTTCCAAATAGAGTTGATGCATCTTCTTTACATTTAGATCTGGAGATAAATAGAATCAAAGGGATTTGTTTCTACTATAATGCGATTCGCTTCTTGAAAAGCTCTGGATATGCATGTTCACACTTTTGAGTGTTTCGTTAGATTTTCGGTTGGGTCTATTTGTATGCTTTCCTTTGTTACTAGGTGGCGCTGCAATATCTCTGTCACGAAAAGTTTGAGCAGTGAGATCTACACGTTTCCTTGATATGCCGTGGATTGAACCAAACGCATGTCTACAAACTCCTTTGGATGACTTACCCAGCTTTATAAAATATTTGTGGAAACAAATGCGGTCTTTCATTAGTCTCTTTTTGAGTTCTTTGAATAGTAGTAGTTTGAATCAACCCTCCAAAATAGGTAATTTGCAAATCTTTGTCGCCTATTTTGTTAAACTTTTGTAAGACAACTTTTCTTGTTTCTTCGATCACATTCTGAAAACACTTGTTCCTGCATTTGCAGTTCAATCCTGTTAATCTCGGTCCCTTCTGTATTGCTTTCCAGTTTGTATACATTTACACTTCTGCCATAGCTTTATTTTCATATTTATTTTTCAGAGAGTGGGGGTGACACTTTTTCTATTTTTGGTTACAGGAACAACTGAGGGCTCTTCCGTGGGCTCCATGTTGACAATAGGTTCAATGTGTTGTTTTACAGAGATACGTTTCTTTTTGGGCTGTTTCTTCCTAGCTGAAGGTCCTGCAACATCACTATTAAAACAACTTTAATCAGAGCTTGTACGGTTGTAGTCTGACTCACTAGCGCTAACCGGATCTGACTTGGTTTCGCTCATCTTTACACGACGTTTAATTTTTACACGAACAATTAAACCACATGAAAACGCATGTCACGCAGTAATGGTAGCGACTAATAATTCAAAAGATGTCAGCGCCATCAGAAGATGACCTTGCATTCCACGAAAATAGCCGAATATTCACAATCATTTGGTGCAAAAGGGATGCAGATCCGGAATTCCACCCATCTTGCACCAAATGAATTAGGAGACATAAAGACGTAATTCCTTTATTTATTATCGGATCTGCATCATTTTTATTCCAGTCAATCCGCCATTTTTTTTTAATTATGGCATATGTTTCCACCTAAATGGTCTAAATATGTAGCTGCATCCTTCTTATAGCAAACTCCTGAATTGAGAAGAATGAAGTTTCTATAAGAAAATTTATAATTTCTATATCCATATATAATCTAACATCTATAATTAGAAAGAACAGAAAATGCCATCGAACTTTGGATTGACGAACTAATTGAAAGAAGAATTCCTATAAGTGATTATTTAATTCAGGAGAAGCTCGTCAATTTTATGAGTCAATGAAATAGACGGAGCCACCAACTTCCATTTCCCAAGCCAGTAAAAAATTTTCAGCTAGCAGAGGATGGCTAATCGAGTGTATAAAAAGAAGTGCATTTCATAATATCAAAATCACAGGAGAGATTACTACAGCAGATAAAGCAGCACCAAAAATATTTCCACATGAGCTAGCAAAAATTATTGAAGATGGGGACTATTGTGTCGATCAAGTATTTAACGCTGTTGAAACGGGACTGTATTGGAAAGAAATGCCTAACCGTACTTAAATCGCAAAGGATGAAAAATCTGCAAGTGGACATAAAGCAAGTGAAGATCGAGTAACATTATTACATACTTTGTAGCAATTCATCAGGAGATAGAATGTTAAAACCGCTATTAATAAATAATTCTCTTAGACCACGTGCTTTAAAAGGCAAAGATTTACTTTACAAGTAAAATAAGAAAAAGCAGTTGATGTTAAAATATTGATAGAAAAACATTATGATTTAAACTGGAAGAAGAATATAGAATATATAATAATATTGAAGAATTAAGCTATTTTAAACACGTTTTAGAACAACACAACTTAGGAAAACATCCACCTGCGGACGATGTTAATAAAATAAACCGGTTCCCCTGTTTTCCTGTTTATGGACAGGATATGAATAAATATAAATAGTCACAATAACAAATAGAAATATAAACCAGTTTTCTCCTAGAATAATACTAAAATATACTTTATAAGTAAAACAACAAAAAGCAGTTGATTTAGAAAATTGATAGAAAAACATGTTTTAAAACGAGACAAATTTCTTTCAGATATTTGAAGTAATTTATCATGCAGCCTATTTCTTTTAATTTCTGGAAACTTTCTTGTTTTTTTTTTGGTTTTATGTAATTTTAGAAGGCTACGTAACACATCCCTACTTTTTCAATGCAAATAATGTCTTTTTTATGCAATTTTTTTGTATGTGCTTTTCTGTGGAACGCATCCACCGCATAAAACGAGTGCTTATTGTAAATAAACTTTTTTAATTGTGCAATTGTTCTATAAAGTTATCGTTAATATTATGTTATTCTCCATGCAGTTATAGATTATACTAGTTTTGTATTGTTTTGAAATTGTTTATTTCATATTTAAGCCACCAATAATAAAAACATCGTGCCATTCAAGGATA